AAAAGAATATGATGATGGTATAGTATAAGTTTATAATTCTGTTAAAATAAGATTTTACTTGGGGACCATGCATACAGCAAAATGGGAATGAGAGGAAATATTGTATAGAAGTTGCCTGTGTGCTCAGATAAGTTTGTGATTGCCTTATTGATTAGCTGTCAGAAATAAAAGATGGTTAGGCAAAAGTACTGAATTAACCTGCTAGCTGTTGTCAGACTCACTGCTGTTTAAAATAATGAACAAGGGCTTGTTTTACAGTAAATTTAGCTTTCCATTTCAGTTATATCTTTGTGACTCTGTGTTATACATTTAATTAAAATGAAAGATAAATTCAAAGGCACATAGGCACATACCAAAATATTTTATGTAGAAAAATGTAACCACACAGCCTACAAAGCACGCATACTCTCTATCACCGCCCCTTTTTCTCCGGTGGGAGAATAGTGGCAGGTCTTTGCTTAGTTGTAGTGGTACTGGAATAATAACACAACCACAATATGCCGTCATCTTTAATTATCTTGGATTCTGCCTAGATTCTTCAGTGGTGCTTGCATAGCGGGAACTTTTATGAATTGTACCCTTTGATCTGTACTTTATGAAACACCCTTATAATCAGTTTAACCCTGTAAAAGAATAATCTCTCCTAGATTTAATTTTCATTAAAACTTGGATATATTTAACTTCAAATTGATTGGAAACTTGTTATAATATATAAATAATATTATGGCATTTAATTTCATGATTTCATTGGGGAAGGGATTGTGTATTGCTTGGCTTCAGTTGCACAAAGAGGCTGTGTGTGTGTGTGTGTGTGCGTGCGTGCGTGCGTGCGTGTGTTTATGTATGTATGAAATTTATTTGCTGCCTATTACTGCTCTAGACAGCTTACAACATATAAACAAAGAAATAGTAAGAAGCATAAACATAACAGTAGCAAAATAGTGAAACAATGAAATAAACAGTGAAAACACAGTAATATGAGATTTAAAATGGGGGGAGAGAAACAGGGAATGGTGCGGGGGGAGCAGGGGGGTGGGGTTTGCTATCAATCCAGCAGCCACCTTCAGTGCATTGGGTCCCCAGGTGGATTGGCAGAGCCAGATGTTCAGGCTCTTGCACTATGAAGAACATAGCATTTGTCCACTACTCTTTAAGAAAGCCATACAGCTAGTCCTCACTTACCAACCACTCATTTCATGACCATTCAAGATTACAATGATTTTAAGATCAGTCCTCAAAGTTACACCCATCACAGTGTCCCCATGGTCATGGGATCATTATTTGAATGCTTGGTGACTGGCACGTGTTAATAAACATCAGAGACACCCATTGTCACATGATTGCTATTTTCAACCTTCACAGCCAGCTTCCAGCAAGCAAAATTATTGGGGAAGCCCAAGGAAATAGCAAATCATGCATCATCATGCTTAATTTCCTTAACAACTGCAGTTGTGACTGATGTGGTCAGTCAAGTATGGTCACATGATATTTCACTTTATGATTGCAATGCTTAGTGATGAAGTTATTGGTCCCAATTGTGGTCAGTAAATGAAGACTACCTTTATATGGGACTGCATATGATATCACAAATTAATTGATTAATAAAAATTAATATATTTTAAGTTGCTTTTTTCATTCTTCTTCCCATCATTCTCGGTATTGAAAGTATAGCAGAAATATTATAGAATATACCAATGAATTCTTTAAAAGCTACTTGAAGGACTTCTGAATAATTTTGCATTTAAATAGTTTTGAACTGAATGTTCAGGTAGAGGAGAATGATATATTGCTTAGCTGGAAGTTGGTATTACTTCTACATTTCTACGTATTTTTATCATAGAAAAAATGTTCAGATACTTATATTCTGATACAGAGCATGTGCAGCTAGACTATTAATTTTGAACCGCTGCTGCTTATTAATGTGCCCATCACTTAACAAACATCTTGGAAATTAAGTGGTAGCCCACCTAGAGGGCCACCGTCTGTGAAGTCCTGAGGGAAATAATATTTCCCAAGGCACCTGAGGGTAGAACAAGAAGCAATGGGTAGAAACTAATCAAGGAGAGAAGCAACTTAGAACTGAGGAGAAATTTCCTGACAGTTAGAACAATTAATCAGTGGAACAGTTTGCTTCCAGAAGCTGTGAATGCCCCAACACTGGAAGTCTTTAAGAAGATGTTGGATAGCCATTTGTCTGAAGTGGTGTAGGGTTTCCTGCCTAGGCAGGGGGTTGGACTAGAAGACCTCCAAGGTCCTTTCCAACTCTGCTATTGTGTTGTATTGTATTATTGTATATCTCTGAAGAAGATGGTTTAAATGACTTTCATATCATACTTAGAAAACTATAATAACGGGTCTGTATAACAGCAATGACCATGATTTAAAGGCAACTTTTTTTCTTCCTTATTCTGTCAAAGAAAAAAGTGTCATCTTTGATATCCAGAAAAATCAGAAATTTTGTGGTGAAAAACACTTTCCTAATGATTCTTGATAAAATTATAAAGACTCAAGTCTAGTTTTCACTAGTTATTCCATAGTATAAATGAATATCTTTTTTTGTATACAGGGAGGCTATTTGGGGGAAATATAAGCTAAATTCCATTTACTTAGGCATCTCAGCATGAAGTCAAATTATCAGATGCTTGTCACAGTCTACCAGTATTATAAAAAATTGCATCAGGGTTTGTTTCTTAAAATTATATTTTGCTATAATCTAGGAGCTCAAGGTATCAGGCATAAAGATCTCCCTTCATTTTATCATCTCTTTATCTCAAATTGGACTGAGGGAGAATGACTGGGCAAACCTGAAGAACTTTAGAGATAAGGGAGTGAGTTTTGAAATAAAAAATATATTTCTGAGAGCTAGCTGGGCACTAAAAATGGACAGAGTTGTTCCCCTTTCTGAAATATTCCCAATTGGATTTAGGCTATGGTATATGGCACCAGCTGAGATGTGGAACTGGGGGGTGGGGGTGGCAGTTGTTATCAGGGAATTTCTGTGGGTTTTCAGGATGCTGCTCCAAAAGTTGCCAGTCATGAAGTTCTGTTTTTGAAGAAAGGCTGGTGGGGTCAGTTGGGATGGTTGCTAATGTAACATCTTCCCTGCTGTATAAGAGTCTCCCTGCCTGAGTTGCTTGAGGCCATCTCGGGATTGGCTGTGGAGTTCTCCAGGTTTATAGCTTTGGGGCACTTCAATCAGCCATTCCTGAGGTGAACTTAAGAAGCAGTGGTGATCATGGGCCTATCCCAGATTATTCATGGCCACACACCGGACATAAGTTTTCTTTTTAGAGCAGTAGCAGTGCGATCTGAGGGAGGATCTCTTCCCCCTGTCACAGTCAGATCATGTCCTGGTGACTTTGAAATTCCCTTATTCTACCCCCTTCTGCAGGGAGGTAGAAAACTAGTTGATTCGAGTGTCACTCTGCAGCCTTGTTTAAGGGTCACTGCAGATCCTCCTGGGTAAGGGACACCCCGAAGTTCACCTTTGGGATCTCATGGAGCAAATCTTTATGCAACTAGGACGTAAAATTGCTCAGATCTGTCCCTCATTTGTGGACCAAGCATGGAACAACAGGCTTGAACTAAACTCTGGTAGCGATGGAATGGCTGTGGGTGGGGGACTTCACTGTCTTTGGATGTCTACTATCTGTGATCTTGAATGGGGTTGCACTGTCCCAGATGAACACAGTGCATAATCTGAAGGTGCCACTGGACACATGGATCAAAGCAGGTGTTGTGTGGCAATTGGGCCTTCTTGGAACAGGAAACCCCTCTCTTAGTCATCTCCTGCATGAACTACTGCAATGTACTCTACATGGGGCTACCCTTGAACATTATCTAGAAGCTGCAGCTATCTGGAATGTGGTTGACTGGGCAGTTCTGAGTGTCCCTGGGGTTACGCATGTAACACCTCTGCTGCATAAGCTGCATTGAGTGCCAGTTTATTTTCAGGCCAAATTTAAAATGTTAGTTATCACTTTTAAAGTCCTTCATAGCATAGGACCAGGTTACCTGAGAAACTATCTTATCCCAATTACATCGATCTCTCTCAGTCTGTCAGAGAGGAAGGATGGGCAGGTTACGGACTCATCAGTTGGCAGGGTCAAGGAAGAGACCTTCTTTTTCTGTTGTCTCTGCACTTTGAAGCATCTTGCCCCATAAGTCAGCCGCCCTCATTCTTCTGAGAGAGCATTAAGTCTTGTCTCTGTCAACTAGCATGGGGATCCAATAATGTTATGCAACCTTGGAGATGGATGGTGGTCTGAGGGCACCTACTCCATCTTTTTAATTTTGGGATTTTTAAAAAACTCTATTTAAAAAGTTTTTTTTAACTTTGTATGGATGTTATGGTTTTTCTTATTTGTACACTGTTCAGAGTCACTTAGATAGCAAGATGGGTTTATACAAATTTGATTAGATCAGACATAAGACTGCCTCCTAACATAAGCAGATAGGTTATGCTTCATGAAATATTTATGTTTGCTAAATTTTATAAACCATTCTTTATATTAAAAGAATCAACTTCCATCTCCTTTGTTTCCACACACACACACACACACTTTTATTTGCTATTATTTCAGAGCAAGTATGTCCCACATAAATAGACAGAATTAAACTTCCCCAAACTCTTTTCTTTTCATCTGTAGTGGTGAATTTTTCAAAGACAACTTTGAAATGCTCTCCTTAGAGAGAATCATTTGATTCTGATCTTTTATCTTTCCAATGATTTGAGAATGGCCTAAGCACTTTTGTGCCATGGAATTTTTAGTGAATTTGTTATCTACAGTACTGATTTATGTTTTGTTTCACATATTGGATATAATAAACTGCTTTGAGTTATTAAGTATAGAATATACTAATTGGGAAAAGACTAATCTAAGTGTCCCTCATTTTACTAGCACACAGCAAGTATTTAACATGTATCGTAAGTGAGGTGATGGTGTTGCATATAATTTTGTCCAATCTTGTAATGCCCCTATCTTTTTATCTTTCCCCAGGCAAGCATGGGATCTTGCTGTGGATATATGCCTATCTCAGCTGCCTACCATTATAGAGGAAGGGACTGCATTTAGGGTAAGTTACTAAACTATTAAATTCATGTCCAGGTTACTCAAACTTGGCTGTGGATGATCTTGGCTTCCAGAATTCCTTAACTAGTGTGTTCATTCCTGACAATTCTGAATTCTGGGTAGTGCCAAGATTGGGGAAGGATAATCTAGTAATTCCAAAATTCTCATATTCTTTATCAAGCAATTATGTACCCATTCCTTCATAGTACACTTATGAATCATTGACCCAATTGAAAAAAGATGCATACAGCATAGTCCATTTTTATTGCACAGAAGTAATTTTAACTATACTCCTAGTGTTGCTTTTTAAGAAAGAGGAGGGGAATTTTCTTAGTGTTGAAAGTTCTCACATGATACTTTTAGATATTGTATATAATATGATAAACATATTCATACATAGTAGCATAAAAGTCCCAGTATTATTCATAGTGTTTTATAAAATCAAAGGATAGAAATATCATCTGGGAAGGTTTTGCAATCTAAAATTTTACACAAAAGAAATAAAAGGAGCATGTGGTAGACTGTACAATGATTCTAGTTGTATGAATAAAGACATAAATACAATAGAATATAATAATTTCGGAGAATAGGATATATGCAATACAATACAATAGCAGAGTTGGAAGGGACCTTGGAGGTCTTCTAGTCCAACCCCCTGCCTAGGCAGGAAACCCTATACCACTTCAGACAAAT